CACACCACCAAAAAAAAAAGAAAAAAAGGATCAATTCTGACTTTCTTGTGTGGTGTTCATATGCTTACCCAAGACATAAAATTTGAACTCTGTGTAATTCATATTATAATTTGCAATAAACTATATTAGAAATGCTTTATTTTGATCTTTAATAGGCTTATGAAATTAGACCATGGGATTAACTGTTACTAAAACATTACTGTAACCCTTGGCAGAAAAATAACAGTTCTTGCTTTAGACATTAATTTGGCATTCAGAATCTAATAGTTACATTTAGTTTTAAAATATTTTCACGGATTTTAAATTTTTCTAACATTTTTGGAATGACATAGTTTCATAGAATATTAATTAAGCTCTTTTGAGGAAAAATATAGACAAATGGTGATCTACAACACCATACTTTATATTTTAGTTTTCTTTCTGGAAACAGCAACGATTTTTTGGCATTTTATTAGGCATAAGGAACGTTTTCAGTGAGGTAATTGAAAATTTTTTAACCATATAGATTTTCCTCTGATTTTGTAGAGGTCTCACAGTAGGGAAATGGCCAAGAGTCCCAACCAATATTAACTTTTTTCCAGGTATTCACAAATGGTCCTAATTGTGAGAAGCATCCGTGGTTGTGTGTGACAAAAGAGGTGATTTAGAATGTTGGGGACGCTTTAACCAAATTTTATACCCTTAAGAGTTCATGATTATATAATGGGCAAGCCTAGGTTCTGCATAAATCAGCCTATATCAGAAAATTGTGTTTTAAGAGGAGCTCTTTGCCATCACTCTTTTAATTTGCACTGGAATGGGAAGGGATGCCCGTGGGGGGGGTTCTCTACATCACGTAAGTAGGTGGTAGAGTAGCTCTGGATTTCCTTTTTCTTTAGTAGGGAAGTAGTCTCACAACACCTGATGGTTTTTAAATTTTGATTGAATTTTTTCATAATTAGAGGCCGCTTAAGATACTAATTTATGCAAGTGTCAGAAGCTAGTAAGTACTCCATTATAGCATTATAAATACTGCAGTCTGGAACTTTGCAATAAATTAGGGGTAACAAGCCTCCTCACTGACGGGGCTGATTTTTGTATACTTCATAGCCTTCAAAAATATTATAGTGTCTCTTCTTTGTAAAGTTAACTTGTTCCTGAACTGAAATTTGAGTATTACATTTTATAAATTTTATGAAATACAAATAATTTTAGCAGGCTTCATATCATGTTGTATATTAAAACATAAAAAATAAAAAGATTTTGCTTTTATTTGATTACACGATTAACTAGTATCCATAATAAAATAACGTTACACTGCTATTTGTCGTATGTAAGGTGGGTCGTTCTGGTGATTTTATGTTGAAGTTAAATAGTTTTGTCTAAATACAGAGTTTCAGTGACTCATTTGGCACAAAGTTGGACCAAACTTGTTTTCTCTCCCTATGCTGTACTTTTGATGAACTTTTAAAAAATCAATTCTGTTTGTAGGCTCTTAAACCTTTTTCTCTTGCAATCTTATTTTCATCTCTTTTTTTTCATTTTATTGTCGTGCAACAAATCAGCCAATACTTACAAATATCTTAGATTTCCCAGTGTTTCCAGGGACATAGTTTTACTGTAACCTCTGTCTCATTTCACCAGCAACTCATTTACTAAAGAAACGGGGTTTTGCTGCCGTAGCTAATTGCTACTTTTGACACACCTCGTTTTCTTTATTTCTCAGAAACAAAAAGCTAATAGACCAGAGTGTAGCCTCAACTTTTTGGAAACATGCAACTTTTACTACTTTAAAATATAATTGGTTTCTTTGTTTCCTGCATCAAAAACACAAGGAGGAGAAGCCGAAGTCTGCCCAAGCCAGGTGTTTCTTGTTGGCAGGCTGCTCCCTAATGACTCTGCTCTCAAAGAGCAGCTGCCTACTAGTCGGCTTTGTATGGCCCATTGTTGCCTCACACCCCTCGTTAATACACATGCCGCCCCGGGCGGACCCGACAATGACATCAACTTGCTTATCTTAGAAACCTGCGAACCTGACGCAGGCTGCTGAGGTTGCCTTGCATCTGCCTGGCCCACTAATTGTGAGCTCGCTGGCCTGGGATTGGCTGTGATTCCACTCGGTAATAGGTTAAGCAAAGACACTGCCATTCCATCTGTTCAACCATTCAATGTGCTTCTTGCCCGCCTGCAAGTCTGCAGCTGAAATTGTGTTAAGGAGTTACTGCTGAAGCTGCTACAGAAACCAATGTCTTTGTATTTTCCTGCTAACGTGAGTATATGTGCTACTTAATGCCTTGGAAGTTAAACTTTGCTAAATACTCAGCGTATTAATTTAAGCTCTGTAAAGGATAGACCGCACCTCAAGTGAAAGCCTGCAAATCATTACATACTGCCAAAATCCCAGAAAATGTAATTCTTTCTGTAAAAATATGTCTGTGAAGCAGTTTTTTTTAACATTTCTATATTCTGGAGTTATATAAATATTACAGCTTCATGAACATTTGCATGGCATGTAATCATTTGGGACTTAAAGATACGTTACAACAGGTTCTGATATTTTGATAAACAGTGAATTTAGATTTTATCTTCATGTCACATTCTTAGGTTTCTTAAGGTGTCACTGTCAGACCTGGATGCTGTAAAATGAGTCAGATTTGATAGATTTTTCCATTGTCTTAAAAATCGAGCTTGTGATGGATTGATGATGTAGATGTTTCAAATAGCTTGTTTTAATTATGATGGTTAAGCATTCAGTTACTTCGTCAGCAGTTTCAATATTCGTGTACAGTTTCCAATTTCTTCTCCCCCTACATTATTTTTCCCCTTGCATTTGTTTCACATATTAGATGGAAGATGTCACTCCGAGAACTATTGCTTTCAAGAGTTCTATAATGGGGAAGGGAGGAGGAGACAAAGACTTTCATCTATCAGTTGGGAGGGAAAGAAAGCGCATAAAGGGTTAAAAAGAGGTTTTCATTTCTACCACATGCCCTATTGTGTGAACATATGCATAAGTCTATTGAAAGTTTTCAGAAGATGGGCAGGCCACCAGTTGCTGGTCTCCTGCAGTTCCAGGAGACATCTGTTGCCCCAGAGCATTAACCAATCTGTTCAAAGGGACATCCTTCTTTTGTTAGCTGGAGGGATGCAGACAACAGCACCCTGAAATACAATGGTAATTAAATACGCAGAGACTACAGCAGTGGGTATTTATTACATATTCATTATTTTATTTTCATTGTTCTCATACTGTTACCATTTGGGTAACAACCAGAACCCACTTTATGGCATTGTAACTTGACATTTGCAAACACAAACAAACTGATTTAACAAGTTTATGGTCTAATATTCCTGATTAATATGATGTTCCTTAGAGTATTAAAAAAAATTTTTTTTACTGGATTTGAGATGAAGGATTATCCAAGTCATCTAATGAGAACTTTCAGAAAATATGCTTATTAAATCAAGGAATGTGTGTATATACAACATGTTTCTAGTAAATAGCCATTATATCCTAAACTTGCTGTTAGCTAGTATAAAGCTTCTTTTTGGCAATTAAAATAATTAGTTACGCTTTACCATCTACAATATCAGTGTGAAAATTTAGTTCTTTTCCAACATATAGTATTATTTGATTTTTAATTTATTAGGCCTTCAGTAAGAAAAGTTATTTTAGTTTCCAGTACAATATCTGGAGGAAATCTACAGCTTTATAAGTGTAGAAATCTGTTTTCAGACCATTATATGTGTGCCCAATCTCTATTGTGTTCATGAATATAGTATGTAAAGGCCAGTTAGGTCCCTGATATAAAACTTAAAAGTTAAGCCATATTTCTTGGAGTTTTTTGATAACTGTGGGAGTATAAACACTGACCTACTTTATGCTGCTTCTTTATAAAATGAGGTAAATTTTATAAATAATAAATATAAATTAATTTATAATATAAATTACTCTTATTAGTTATAGCCGATTGATTTAAGGATGATTTATATGCGTTTGCAGTTGAGTAAGTGGCAAAACTTAAGTCTAATAAATGGTTTAGAAATGAAGGAGAAAAGTGTTTTCTCCCTTGCCTGTAAAAGTAAATTTTGTGATGTTATTGGAGTCTTTGTTATCTTTTTCAAAATTATATCGATCATTTTTAAGGCACTGAACAAAAATAAAAGTCATATACCATTCTTTGTCATAAGATTTCTTGTAATAATGCATTGTAAGTTTACACATTACGTTACATTAAGTAGTAGCCTATGAAAATATTTTTATCAATTTTTAAATCTTAAGACTGGCATTTAATTTTTTATTGGTTGGTTTCAAAATGTTGCCAAATTCTTTTTTAGTGCTATAGGAAGTCAGGGCAGTCTTGTACTAGTTACAAGTAGATAAGGCAGCGTTTTAGAGACTAAAGTTTTAAAAACCAGATCTTCACCACTTGGGTCAATAAAAGTAAGTTATTTCAAATTTGTATTATGTAATGGAGAAAACATATGCAGCTTACAGCCTGGTAATTGGACTCATTTGTCTACGCACTATTTCATATTTAATCAAATGATTTACAGGAACTAAAAATTATTTAACTGCTTGTTTAGTACAAGATGACACTGGATAACTTTCTCTGTGGTAACCAATGAAATCTGGAAGATAAAGAGAGGCCTGTCAGTGTGGAAAAAAAAGTTCAACCAGAATATTTTAAAAGTTATTTTGCCTAACAGAATTAGGTGTTAATTTTTTTAAGTAGTGTAGATCATGCTTACACTTACATTTAATGTTAAAAATCTTGTTAGCCCACCTGGAAGCTTTTTATTTAAATAATATATATAAATTATATGAATCACCACAAGTTAAATGTGTGTGGTAGTTACTAAATATATTTGAATACAAATGCTAGCTTATCTGATTTAATATTATAAAAAGCAAGCAACTGATAACCTCATTTTTTCTATTTAATCATTTTAGCCATATAATAAAATTACATAGGAAAGTAGATTTACGCAGAGTCACCTGCACTTTTTTATGTTAGACTGAAAGTGATACAGGAAGATTTAAATACTTTTTTAGGGTGGATAATTTTCAGTTTAAAAACTTTATAGTGTCTGGCTTTGCCTCTTTGAAAAATGTGAAAATTAAAAATAATTCACTTATTCTGTAAACATAACATTTCATTCTAATGTTCCCCACTGGCTGTATTTTTCATAAAATATTCATCTTGTTTGAAACAGTCCAAAGGAAAAATACTGCAGCCCAATATTAAAATAATATTTCCTAGTTCAGTTCAGGGAGTTGGTCAGTGAGTCATTCATTATCTTGAAGAATTATCTCACAACAGCACTTATGCAAAACCCAAACTTTTCAGGGGAGATCAAAAATGTTGCCCATTAAATGCACTTCCTGCAGTCAGAGCAGATTGTGGGGTTTACAGAACAATGATGTCGGAGCTTCCAGATTGGTTTGGCAGCTGCATTGTTCTCGGAGGGTAAACCAGACGCACTTAAGTCCCAGTCTCTTTTATAGGCTTTTGTTCATACCAAATTATTCTTTCACTGCGCTAGCATTCATGATGGCACGTTAACAGAGTGCCGCTTAGCAACCAGCTCTGGTTGCCAGGCAGCCCAGCTTCCAATAGGTTTTCCTTGTTTAAGATACTTTTGGTGGGAGCCCTACGAAGACCACAGTGCAGATTTTTCTTTTAACTGTATCGTTTTATTAGGATGCTGTTGTGATTTGTTACTTGCTTCATGATGTCAGTATATTACAGTAGTTAATAAATCACTGAGTGTGAAGATTTGCTTTCAAAATCCCTTCCTTTAATTCTAAATAATTGGGCTCATGCATATCCATTTTAATAGAAAAAAAATTGAAACAGATACAGCTTCATAATGGAGCAGATGGATATAGAGATCTTCTAAGGAATATTTCTTTTTATCAGTTTTGCAGTCAGGAACCAGGAGAGGGTGATGTTTCTTTAAAACTAATGAATGCTATATTAGTAGAACAGTGATATTGTTTAGAGTTATCTGTCTTCTCAAGGGATAAAACCGGAAGAAACTCCTGGAGGAGTGTGTAGGAGTTCTTCACTGAAGGAATTTTAAGTGTATTGTTATCAAGCTAAGGATTCTCAAATATTCTCTTCTCTAGTGTTTACCGTAGTTTATATAATTTATTTCATTATGTAGAAATGCTTCACTCTTTAATAAGTTCACGAAATGCATTCAAATGTGTGGCTTCTTAGAAAATCACTCTGCGTTTTCTCTTAACATTTAAATAGCTCCTTTCTAGTGTAAGTAAAATGTTGAAGAGCTGCAGAATAAAATGTTTTTCCAATTTTCTTTTTTAGTTTATTTAAATAGGTGTTTTATGACAGTCTCAAATTCAGCCACCACCGGCTTACTAATGCTACCCATGGATGGAGCACTGGCATTGCCTTAACAAGTAAACTACTGATGTGCATGTGGTCCTGACAATGAAGCACGAGAGAAAATCATTTTATTTTGCTAGCCTGTTCCTGACAGAGAAATAACAGTTATTCTCAGCAGACTTTAAGGAAGATGGTAAAACAGCAAGAGCATTTTAAACAGTAAAAGCATTCCTGTAAGGGAAAAGTAGAAGAAAAGATGACTTTTTAACCAGGCGCAGGCAATGGTTAGCTAATGAGTTCAGAAATATTTTCTGCCATAAAATTCAAGAAATTAAGATACCATTTATTCAGTGTACTTAATTATTTGCTGCTAATTTTGTGTGAAATTGGCCATTTCTATGCTTTTTATAAATACGCACAGAATAAAAAGAGCTTTTTCCCCTGAAATGAAAAAGACGGTTGTATTCCTGGCACTTAATAAGGGTAGCACGATGCTGAGAATTGTGTTCAGTTACTGTATTCAATGTTCACAAAATAAAGATCATTGGGGCAAAACTATTCATCTCTTAAGTGGAATGTAATTCACCCTGTAATTATTTTAATTCTTTGCTGGCTGTTGTAGAATATGTATTCTTTCATCACAGTACCTAAATTAATTTTGAAAGTCTTCAGATTGTTGTGAAGATTGATCCAAATTAACAATAACTTTTAAATTATAAAAACTTAAGGTCTTCCTTGCCATATGACTTTCTCTTTAAAAGAACTTTTGCAACTTTCTATGAAATCTTTTAGAGGAAATGTACATAACCTGTCATAGCATGTCTAAAACGTGCTTTTTTTAAATAATATTTGTGTGTCACTCTAGAAACGTGGGCCTTTCTAACTGTGGGAAAATCTTTCCCATCAAGATTGAGAAGCCACAGGGGCAGCAGAAAGGGCATGGGTTTTGGAGTCGGGCAAAACGGAGTGAAAAACCCCATTCCTCTGCTTGTTCACTCTGTTGCCTTGGAGGGATATTTGGCCTTTCTGGTTCCTAACTTCGTCATCTAAAAAATTGGGCATGATACTGTTTGGAAGGGTGTTAACGAAGGATGAGAGGATGCAGATGAAACACAAAGTTGATAACTCGGTGGTTTGGCAATTCTCTCCCAACTTCTTTATTGACACAGAAACGAACCAGTCAGTATGGGATTCTAAGTATTCTACTTTTTTTTCCTCTAGGAATACGGGGTGCTTTGCATTCAAGAATATAGAAAAAACAGCAAAGTGGAGTCAAGTACACATAACAGCTTCATGGGCTTGAAGGATCACCCGGGGCATGACCTCGACCACCTTCATGTGGACAGCACTGACCCCCGTGTAAGTGCATCTGTACCTTGGTCAATGGTAGAAAAACCAACAATGGATAAAGTTCATTCTGGGAAGGAAGAAAAAGAGGTGTCTGAAGAGAATGTGAGCTCTGGTGACTCTGAAGAAAGCACCAACTCCGATAATGAGTCAGAACCGGTGAGCAGCGCCCCAGCAGAGCCATGCTCGCTAACCAAGACCCACAGACAGCTGTGTCGGTCTCCCTGCCTGGAGCCTCACATCCTCAAACGCAGTGACGTTTTGCAAGACTTTAAACCCGAGGAGTCCCAGGCGACATCCAAGGAGGCGAGGAAGCCCCCTGATGTGGTGCGAGAATACCAAACGAAACTGGAGTTTGCACTGAAGTTAGGTTACTCTGAAGAACAGGTTCAGCTCGTGCTGAACAAACTCGGTACCGACGCTTTAATCAATGACATTTTGGGGGAACTTGTCAAACTCGGAAACAAAAGTGAGGCTGAACAAACGGTTAGTACAGTCACCAGTCTGATGCGGGAAACGTCTTCCCTGGAATCCCAGCGGTCGGAATCTCCAATGCAAGAGGTGGCAGCAGATGACGGGGAGAACCTGAGACCGATAGTCATCGACGGCAGCAACGTGGCAATGAGGTAAGTGGAGAAACCTTCGCTGATCACCGCCCAACGGTCTTTAAAACTTACCTTCTCATTTTGTGACTCTGCTAGCAGTCATTAAAGCCAAGGTGGTTCTGCATCCCAGCGTTGGCTTCCACGTTTCTGATTGTGTCTCTCTTAGTTCTCTGTCTCTCTATTCCAGGGCGGTTGGCCATTCTCTCTCCGTTTGTCCCTAAATGAGGACCCCCCTTTTCCCTAGATAGGTCTCTTTTTCTCGCTCATCTAACTAGGTTGCTGGGATATAAAAATTAGCACATGTTCTGGCTTAGTGGTAAACGCTAGTTTTAACTGAAGAACTTGAGCATCATCATACTCAACAATTTTGGAATCTGGTGAGATCAACAGTGTATTTCTACACGAAGTCACATAACCATCGAGGAGGAATCCCAGTTTTCTTAGAAAATTATTTTTATTGATTTGGGAACAAATCAAAGCTATAATTTCAGAGAACTTCAGCTATAATTTCCATTTAAGAAATGTAATTCAAAATTAGTTTTTTTAGGAACTGGGAGAAAAAACAAACAAAAACAAAACTCCCAATGAGCTTTTTTTGTTTTTAATGAATTTTGATGGCTTAAGATGTAAAGTGCATCTACATTCAATTAGTGTATAGCTAACTGCCCACAGTGTTTAGAATCCTGTGGGGATATAAAGGTATATAGGCATCAGTTCTTTCAGAAAGCTTAGAATTTCTTAATATATTGTTTCTCAAGGTGATCTGAGGATAACTACCAAAGAGTCATCTGGGGAACTTGTTCTAACAAGTGTGCATTCTAGAACAGTGCTGTTCAATGGAATTATAATGTGAGGCACATATGTCATTTAAAATTTTCTGGTACCCACATTAAAAATTAAAAGAAACAGGTGAAATTTAACGTGAATCATGTATTTTATTTAGGCTAATAGAGCCAAACTATTACTCCAGTGTATGTTCAATAAAAGAAATTGTTAATGAGAGATTTTTGCATTATTTCTGTCATATTAAGTCTTAAAATTGGGTATCTTACCTTTAGAGCACATCTCAGTTCAGAAGAGCCACACTACAGGTGCCCAATAGCCGCCTGTAGCGATTGGCTACATATTGGAGAGTGTAGTTCTAGACACCTACCAAGCCCACACATAGACCTACCACTGCCCAGATCAAGGTGTAGCCCAGACATCTCCTTTTGTAACAGATACACCTGCTGATAGTGATGCATTACTGAAATGTAATTTTTTAATAG